TTCTAAATTTTCTAGATAAGTGTCGTCTTTCATGGAATCCATTAGAAAAAAGGATATATCGAAACCAAGAGATCGATTAGATTATAAAGTCCTGCATGACGTGAGAATCGTGAATGAGAATTCAATTGGATCTGCCCATTAAATCTTTTTATTTATTGTAATGAAAAATAAATTACTTGACAAAATTTCTACAGTATCACTAGTTGTGTACATTTTCTAGATAACGTCTGGAGTGCTTAATTATCTTATCTAACAGCGAACTGTCGGATTAAGATTGAGTATGTATAAATAAACGTTGCAAAGAACGATTCTACGCACATTGCACTTCAACAATTTAATGGAAGCAAGAGTAAATATGTGTTTTATTAATTTTAGTAACTTCTTTTTTTTTTGTTTGTTTGTATTAATTTAATATTTTGTTCGATAATCGTTTAGTGAATTTTCTTGCAATATTGTTTAAAATAATGGTGACATTAAATAACAGTAATAATAACAAAGTGAAAGGTTTACGGTGAAACATATTTTCACATGTTTGAATAAAAATTGCGAGTCAGATCCTAGGATTGTTCACATTAAATAAACTCAACAAATACTCAACTAGTCTTTTTTTGTATTTGTTTTTCAAACACAAATTTTTCATAATATCTTTTTACAACATATCTTCATAGCATATTTCACGACATGTTCATTTTTCACAACATATTAACATATTTTTTTCAAACATACGCACATTTTCCAATCCGAAGAAATCGAAAATGAACAACATTTTGTTTAATCGAGAACTTTAAACGAAAGTGTACAATAATTTCTTCGTAGCAAAAAGAAGTAAAAGCTATTGTTCATAAAAATCGTAAAGGGAAGAGGCCATTATTAATTGATAAATTACCAGTTCTTGTACTATCTCATGATTTCAACTCTTCAGTTTCAAATCTCCTGGCAATTCAACCAATGCTCCAAACAATATCCTGTCGATCAAAAAAAAAAAAAAAAAAAAAAAAAAATCCGAGGATCGACAGATGACATCTTCATCGACTCTTTCGAGATATTCAAGTATAAAACGTGTACACACGGTGTATAATTAATAATTAATATACGAGTAACAGTGGCCGACAACTCAGAAGAGAAACCATTGACAAGAACGTCCTGTACATTATACGAGTATATAGAATGTCTATGTTTCTAACGAAAGTTACAATCGATCCCACAGATACAGCTTGACCGAGAGTGAGACAGGCTTTGTCCAACGATCCAATGGAACGACAGGGGGACCAAGATGTTTGCATCATTACTACGGGGGACTTCCCGCATTTTACGATAGGCAGCTTCATGTTAAAGGCCGAGTTCGACGACGGCGGTGACTTTTACAGCGAGAAGGCGAAGAACGAGCTGCGCGAGACACCAGAGGTTGTCGTACAGGCGTTGAAGGACTTCAAGGCGATGCTCAAAGGTAACGGGGAGTACCGTTAGGAAATGGCAACCATGGTAGCGCCCGTAATGTTGATTCCACGGCCATCTGGATGTTCGCTGGTACGACCGCGAGACAGAGGGAAGTTGCGTGAGAAACAGCCACTCCGATAGTCCGTGACGTAGGAAAATTTGGAAGTGATGCTCGTGTAATAAATATTTTACACGATAGTTCATTCGTGAGTAGCTTCATAGAAAATTGAAGTAGAGGCTGTTTGAGGCACATCTTCATTGGTAATCGGGAGAATCTTTTCGTGGACAGGAATGACATTCGAGGAAGCGATTTGAAATTTTAACACGTTACATACGTGAGTAGCTGATTTATGATTAGTTTGGTGGAAGGAGTGATTGAAAAAAATTTATGTGCGACTTCGGATGAAGGAACAACTCTCATGCTTTTGAACAGACTCTGCTTTCGAGGTATTCGGGAAATTTATGCGAATTATAGAAATGTGTTTATGAACGTACGTAAAAATTCATAGAAGATATTTGCCTTGAAAATTTGGACAAGATTTAAGAGAATCTCGCGTGAATCGCAGAGATATAGTTAATATCAGTAACGCATTACGTAGGCAAATTTATACACAAAAATTTCCTTCGTTTTCAAGAAATCAGAGAGGATGGATCGAAGGAATATAATTAAGTTTACAATAAGTAGAAAAGACTTGCCTTAGAAGAGCTTAGGCAGCATTGAAGAGAATTTTGCGTGAATTTTGAAGAGAATTCGAGGAACACGTACATTATACATACAATACGAAATTTATAAGTGGCTCAGTAGGAAACTTAATCGTATAAATGTTGCGTGGATCGATGTACGAATAAATCAGTGAGTACTGAATTATTAATACGTAAATGATTTAAACATTAAGACAAATGATAATAAGGCGCGAGTAAAGGAAGAGAGGGTTGTAGTTTTATTTAGAAACCTTGTTGGTTTCCTTATCGTTGTATTGTACAGATCGATTCAACTAGGAGAAGAGAGAAGAGAGGATATTTTTGTACGCGCGTGATTCATTAGGGCACAAAAGCGAGGAGCCTTGCCTGAGCAAACACATCGTAATGCGGGGCTTTTCTCTGCTTGCTTTACACTTCAGCCGACGATATTCTCTTTTATATTAGATCGAGGAAGATCGAGAATGCCGCGAGGAACGATTTCTCGTACGGGGAAAGTGCTCGGCAGGCTTTCGTCGTCGTCGTAGAATCCTTCAGAGAGGGCTCTCTCTGAATCACTTTGATCAGAAAAGCTCGAGGGGACAAAGAAGCGAAAGTGCAAAGTAATTGGTCGCACTTGTTAATCAAACGTGATAATATAATATCTCGCTATCGGTCAAACATTCAATAAACTTTGTTCGATGCACGCATCGATAAATCGAAATGTTCCATCGATCGTAAAGAAGGAAATACTGTTCTTATAGACGAATTATATTTTGAATTAGTATAGTTATTGCCGACACGTCGTCACCATAGCGGAGAAAGGAATGTCGCAGCGATAGTATCACACGATCGATTCACCTCACATGTTCAGAACCATGTTAATGCCCCTCGCAGCAACTTGGAAATCGAAGAGAATGATCAATAGAGAATGATCAATTTTAACTTCTTATTTTAACTCCTTGTGATAAGAGAATGATCAATTTTAACTCCTTATTTCTTATTAATCGGTTGCTTCTTTTTTCAATAAATATTCGTCGCAGAGAATGAGAGAGAGAGAGAGAGTTTGCCATTTTATTTTGATAAATTTTTTATTTCAATAAATTCTCCTTGAAAGAGAAAAATTTTTTTAATCACTGCGAGAAAGGTTCACGAGGATCTGCTTGACGATATTAAATTCTCTAAATCAGAATGATGAAAAGAATTGCATCGACCATTCTCGACGATAATAAATAATTCAGAAGTGTAATAACATATCGTTGTGATTCGGTAACCGCTTGTTTTGTCGCTTGAAATAATGACAGGCCTTCCTATGTAAAGAAACGATCAAATGTAATTGCACGTTTTGCATTGTTTGTGTTTCGCTCTTAGATGAACCTGACTTATACGTACCGGATGACGATGAATTTTATCAGAAGTTTCTGCGGCCTTGTAAATGGTATCCAAAAAGTGCCTTCGAACTGGTAAGGATAACTCCATTCAAAACACGTTTATTTATTGTTACTGAAATTTTATTTTGTCTTTGTAATAGATACCTGTGCAATTTCATATTTTTCTGAACCAAAGTGAGGATTAAACAGAAATCTCTTTCGCTCGTTCAAACTATAATAACAAATACTTTGCTATACTATAATAACAAATACTTTTAAATTACATAAAACTTGTAATATACTTGTCGTTTTACATATTTAAATTTTTCACAAAGAAAGAAATTGTTAGAAAATTTCTCACAAGCTTGTTACAATTTTATATTTTATTTCACAATAACTCTAAGCGACATGAATAGCACAGTTAAAATGCATCAACTAAAAAATTACATCAACAGTTGTACCATTTATTTTGAAAGTGGTGTAAAGTCCATTTTCTTTTTACTCCGAGATATTGAAGCGTTTACGTTCCGGTTAAGCCAATTCCAATCAGCAACGAAATTTCAATGAACATTTTAAGATTTAAATTACAAGTTACTTCCAAATAAAAACTTTCTATTTTTTATTTTTTTTAATTTTTTTATTTTCTCAGTTTCTTCGAAAAAATACACTTGCACCACTTCCAAGAGAAATGATCCAGTTATTGTATATTGTATATTGATTGTCACAAGAAGATGCTTTCAAGCTATCATCTTCAAATTGAATGAAGCTTCTGCTGATCGAAAATCATTTTATTAATTCCACAGATGAAAAGGTTTTACAAATTCAAGTTGAACAATCCACGCTACTGCCTTAATCTCGTACCTAGCAATGAGAAGAAGGTACTCTCCTCGGACATAGTGATACCGTTGTCAAATCGCACGGCGGATGGTTGTAGATTGTTGCTGATCAACTGTGGAAAAACATGGAACCCAAAGGTCATCACCACCGATGAAATCTTTCGAGCGGTCATACTGTCAATGGAAGCGGCCATAGCTGAACCCAGGACACAAGTATATTCAATTCAGTTTTTAAGACTTACTCAAACCT